ACATTGTTTAATATCATATTAAACAAACAATTGTTTAAGAAAAAAAAACATTTTAAACAAAGTATTTAAACGGGGGACATTAACTAAACTAACTTAAAACTACCTAATTAAACGAGGTATCGGTCAATTATTATTAAACTACATATATATTACCAATCATCTAGGATATCTGCGCAGCTGACCAGATTGGGACTCGCTCCATTAGTTCGTTTGAGGCACCATCAGGACAGAAAACATGCCAAGGTATATGAAAGGTATACCTTTCTTAATGGCAGAAAATATGCAAACCTGCACAGTCTCTAGACGAGGTCTAGACACTTAGTGAACAATGTACAAACAAACTAGGTAGCGGAGTGCCGAGATGTCCGTGACACACGTAACCGCGGGCTGACATTTTGAGCTATAAGGGAAAACGTGCTATGATTGGCCGTTAACCCGTAGTCAATAATATAATATTATTGTAAATTACAAAAGATTGCGATCGCACGGACCTGTTCGAGAGGGATTATTGATCACGATGGCACATGACATATCCGTCGCCGCGGGCATAATATGTTATGTAATCGACTAAATTGATTTTAGATACGTTTGTCCTATGATAACGGAAAATAATCATTTTTGGACATTACAGAACCCCCCTACAGAAATTTGAACATCCTGAGGGAAAAACTTCTGTACAGAAAAGTAGCGTCAAAATCAGAAATAAAAAGAAAATACTATTTTAGTATTCTTAATAATTCTTAAAGTTAATCGAAATCGTATAACTCAATAATAATAATTAATCGTTTACCTTTAAGCCTCCGGTGTCTCTCAAAGACCAAAACCAATCCATATTCTGGGAGTGACAACAGGTGGCGAAATGCAATTCTTATGACCGCAGTTGATTCCCGATCAGCGCTGATATTCCGGCTGGGCGTGTTGACTTCCTTTTTTGCCGTTTCTTTTGAAACTTTTTCTTAATAGAGGCAATCGGTGACTTATCNAATATTTTTTAATTTGGAATCAATCATGCAACGGTTAATTATTACAAATTATATGTTTTATATTATATGTTTAAATTAAAGTGTTCTTTTGTATTATATGTAATATTTAAATTTTACGAGTTTTCACATAATTTGTTTTTGGTAGGTACTATGTGGAAAAAATTGTGAGACTAAACGGATATGCTTGAAAATTTGACAGTTTTATTTATAAGTCTTTGTGGCTCAAAATAAAAAAAATTAAGTTTATGTATTTTGTTTTTTTTTTTTTTTTTATAAGAATTTTAGTATCAAATTTTAAAAAAATCTTAAATATTATGGCTTTTCAATACACCTGTAACCAAAATCCACTCCAAATCGTTTGTCGTTACTCATTAGCAATGATTTATCGTCAACAGATATGAATTAAATAACTTTAGGTATCCTACCTACCTTGCCTACTTCCCAACTACAACAGTGACCCGTCACCCGTCACCATTATCGGTTCATTTATTTTTCTTGTACACTCATACTGGCTTAAATTTATGAAAAATATATTATTTTATATATGAACTTACTTCGGCTTTTAAGTAATACAATTTTCATGACAAAAAAAGACTAAGAGACATCCATAGCCTAAACAAGCATTCAGGGATATATGTATATATAATTAAAATAAAAATAAAACAGAACCAACAACAGTTGTGAATGATGAGAAAAGTCTCATCCCAACCCATTATCGTTGAATACTATTGAATACTATAAAAATACTATGGATAATCTAATTAAGGGATGGTTAATATTGCAAGTAGATATCAAACATCAATAAGTGAATGGCTATGGATTCAAGCAGTGAATTCTATTTGTCACACACCCCATCGTACACACATCAGATACCATCAGTTTATACAGAGATCACAAGTCAGGAGTTAAAAGCTTAACAGGGGGGACTATAACAGCAATGAAAACAGAAATAAAGACAATAACCTTACCTATCTAAATGTTGATGATAAAAGAAATTGAACATCATCCGGGTTCGGTAAAAACCTTACACTAGATGGAAGGACACAAACAAAAACACAGGGGGGAATAAAAAAAAATTTAAATTAAATTAAATCCCCAGACTTTAGGGACAGGGGAAAAGGCCTGGTTTTTTAATCTGGACATTTTTATGAAACCTACTGGGACTCAAAAAATCTGATTGTTTCAATTCCCTAGTCGAAGAGAGCAGGATCGGGCATCTCTAGTCTGGTCTACCGCCACAGTTGACAATATACGCATTATTTGCTTTAATTGAATGAACAACAAAAGGACCTTCATAAAGTAGAAAAAATTTGTGGATTTGCCAATCTAGTTTGCGATCCACATGCTGATTACTTATAATGTGTTTCAAAATTTGCAAGTGGCATTTGATTTCATTTACCATGGAGTTGGTTCTCAGAGCCATTATATATGTGGTTTCCTGATTCTGTTAACATATATCTCTACGGGGGGGGGGAGATTGCGGGAAATGAAATCTATAATATTGGAGGGACCGAGGATATATTGAATTCTTAAATCAAATTCTTGGAGAGCTAGTGTCTAACGGGTGAAACGTGTGTTTCTTAGTCGACAACGGAAAAGAAACGTGAGGGCTTGGTGGTGAATTAGTACATAGAGGAATTAACCTATTATAAAGATATAGAACTTAGAACAAGCATAATAACTCTAATTCAGTAATAGAATAATTTCGTTCAGCAGCATTTATTAATCTACTTCTCCGTTCATTGTTTGAACCCAACTGGAAAAGTTTAGCGCCTAGTCCTAATTTGCTAGCATCAGTTTGTATATGGAAGAGGTCGTTGAATATGGGATGTGATAAAACTATGTTGTCAAATGCTCTCTTAACTTTGCTTCTTTACTAAAGTACAATTTTATTGACCCTATGGGCATCGAGGCATAAATGAACGAATCCATCTGGTTTTTGGACAGAGGATGGGATTACTTAAAGGTAAAGAACATCTTTCAATGATATTCCAATTGATCATGCGCAAGATCTCGGTATTGAGTAAGGATTTACCTTGAAAGGGGTATTATCAGAGACACTAAATTGACATGTATACAGGGAATTAAAACCTGGGCAAGTGCAGAAAATATGCTGATATATGAGAAACAGGGATATAACTTGGTCACACTGTGACTTGGTGGAAATTACTATTTAAGACTATTTATAATATTTATTACGGGTACATACTTTTCGTAGTGGGTTTGCATAGTGGTAATCTCTACAGAGGGATCAGTGACTATGGGGAATGGATACTCAACAACAGTTGAATTGGGCTAGGTTGGTTCCTCACTCTTCGGATATCTCCTAAATAGTAAGTTCAGGATAGGTTGTCTCTACGGGACATAAGTAACTATCTACGAATGGGACTCGAATATTCCACACTGTAAAATAAAATATACGAAAGGAATACTGTATATCTACTCCTTGCTGTGACAGCCAATCATTGCCTAAAATCATTAATTAACTTTGGAATTACACAAAAAATGCAATCACACTCATGGTAGTAAGAAGATCAGTAATCACAGTAAGAGTAACTAAAACTTGTTGTTATTTTACGACTTCAACATTCCACCGCAGTAGTAATTGTTAAACCTGACATAGGCAGTGTGGACAGGGTTTACCCTTCAGGGACTTGAGTTTGTATAACTTCAAAAGATAGTTCTGAACCAGTAGACAGAAGTGCCAGTGTCACAAAAAGTTTGAACCGGATGTTGAAAAACATTAACTTCGAGACCAGGTCGAGTAGTGATTGGTGTGGTAGATGGTGTGATGACGATAGGTTGAACAGACATCAGTTTGGGGGAGTTTGTGAAGGGGGAACATACGAGTTAAAAAACAGGGAGCATGGTCTATTGGGACTTGAGAGGCATTCAGTTGATGAATGGGATGAGAATTGTTACTCGAAAAATATATATATATAAATTACCATTTATGGGTACCTGAGTGTTAGGTGCAGAATTAAGATGCTGGTTCCTAGGGGGACTTCGCCTATACTGACTAGAGCATCTAAAATTATTGTTACCAGTATAACTATCATGGTGGGGTACAAGGAAAAAACCTCTACGTGGTGTACCCCAGGCAACGTCTATAACGGCTAATTTTTCCAAATCCAGGCTCATATGATCTCTACAAAACAAGATAAAAAACGGCCCTTCTCAGGGCCAGCACTGACGATCGCCTCATGTAACATTGAGGGTATAAACTCAAATAAGGAAGAACTGCTTGCTGACTTATGTAAAGAATATTCATGTGACGTGTTATGTGTGCAAGAAACACATAGGAGTGAAAATATGAATAATCCAAGAATCAATGGGATGAAGCTCGTTGCAATACGCCCACACAGGAAGTATGGAAGCGCTATATTTGTTCGTTCCTCAATTGATGTAACGACAAGCCAAATAACAGAGATAGACGACATTGAGATTCTCACTATAGAAGTTGGAAAATGCACTGTGACCTCTATCTACAAACCTCCTAATTCAACATTTGCATTCGAGAAACCAGTTAATTTCGACACTAAAAATATTCACATTATCATAGGAGATTTTAATAGCCACCATACCAACTGGGGTTACGACGAAACAGATAATAATGGCGATAAAGTTGAAGTTTGGGCAGAGTCCAACAGGTTAACACTAATCCATGACCCAAAACTACCACCATCATTCAACAGTGGTAGATGGAAAAAGGGTTATAACCCCGATATAATATTTGTAAGCGATATGATAGCTCCCCAATGTACAAAGGAAATCGGAAGACCCATACCACACACGCAGCATCGACCCATATTGTGCAAAGTTACGGCAGTGATTAAACCATGTGACACCCCATTTTTGAGGAGATATAACTTTCAAAAAGCAGATTGGTACACCTTTACTAAAGCTCTGGATGATGCGGTAACCGCACTGGAACCAGTAAACGAGAACTATGAACCTTTTACAAAGTTAGTAAAAACTATCTCCAGAAAAAATATACCAAGAGGTTGCCGAATAAAGCATATTCCAGGGTTAACACCTGAATTAATAGAAACATTAGAACAATACACCGATAAATATGAGGACGACCCATTCGATGAGGATACGATAGAAAAGGGAGAAGAACTAATGAATCTACTAACTGAGGCGAAAAGGAAACATTGGTGTGACCTACTAACAGAAGTAGATATGAAAAGGAGTAGTAAGAAAGCATGGAACCTCATTAAGCGCTTAGACAGTAATCCAAGAGAAAAACCAAAGGTACCATTAATAACACCAAACCAAATTGCACACCATCTTCTAACGAACGGTAAAAATAAAATGACAAAACCCAGACCTTTTAAACCGAGGATTATACGAACGGAAAACAATGAAACGCATGAACTTGGAAACCCGATCCTACTCACAGAACTTGATGATGCTATAGAGACACTAAAGAATGCGAAAGCGGCCGGGTTAGATAACATGTTCTCAGAACAGATAAAACACTTTGGAAAAACCACAAGACTATGGCTGTTAAGTCTTTTTAATAATATCAGAAGTACCTTNACGGGAAAGGTAAATATATATATATATATACATAATGAAAAAAGACTAAATTGGATATCTCTTAGTTGGGGTAAATATGGGGATAGATATATGAATGTGGGAAATAAAATATGTAAAGATTGGGGTATTATTCACCGATACCTACTTTGTGTACTCGGACACAGTAAAATGGATGCATAAGCATGTGATGAGTTTCTATTTTTATCGACGGGAAGCGATCGGTTCACTTAAATACGTAAGACTCATAAGGTACATTGGTATAGACTTCTTAATTGCTAAACGCAAATGTGTGTACGGGCCTGTCGAGACAATTTATAGGTACATGGATATATTGACAAAGGTTACCAGGGAACAAAAAAAAAATTATTAAATATGTGTAGGTATACATTTAATGACGCTGCATTAAAATAAAATATTAATGGACAGAAACTGACTGATTGTAGTGTTTTTCACTAACTATAACAACCTCTCCTACCATCATAACGCTGCTATTCTCCTTGCTCTTAGAGACTAAAACATCAAATACAACAAACCAAAAAAAAAAAACTAACTCCCTACCATAACAACTACTCACCATACAGGTGTATCGGGGGTTGGGGGTTCGTAAAGACAGAAGCCATACTCACACCGAGAGAAAAAATATATCAACTGGTAGCTGAGGTTCACAATTGGAAGCCAAACCTACATGGGACAAAAACAAAACTTTTCCTACCATAACATAACGTGTATTGAGTGATTTCTCTCCTACTGAAAGAGGAAGATACCTAACGTGCCATAAATAAAATAAATAATGATAATTATCAAAAAAACTAAGAGGAAAAAATATTTAGTAAAGGGAATTAAATAACATTCGATCGCAGCTCGGGCGATTATTAAATGGGTATTGGTTTGTCAATATATAAATACCAAGAATACGTAATAAATTGTGACCGTTCAAGTCACTGTAATAATGGGAATAATAGAGATATTAAGTACAGGTACACACAATGCGCGCACAATAATAATCTTATCTTAGTTAATAATAATTACGGGGGCGGGCGACGGATATGTTATTGTGTTGCCGTAGTTGACCTTGGGACTGGGCCTGTATGCCATTGACGAAAATGTTGATTGGGAACGAAACATGCGATCGCAATCTTTGGACTCGCCGACCGTTAAAGTACCGGCGTATTAAAGAATACGATAATAGAACCGTACTTTCCTGCAAATAATTAAAAACAACAAAAAATTCTTGGGAAAGTAATATTGTGGCCGATAACCCGTGCGATAACTTTCGAGAAATACACGTATTCACATGTTAACGTATTAACTAAACAAAATTAAAAACTACCTAACTAAACGGGGTATCGGCCAATTATTAAACTACATATATATTACCAATCATCTCGCCCAAGGATGTCACGCAGCGGACCAGATCGGGACTCCATTAGTTTGTTTGAGGCACCATCAGGACAGGAAACATGCCAAGGGATACGACCTTTCTTAATGGCAGAAAACATGCGAACCGGCACAATACTGGAGTGTTTTAGCAGAAAAAGCTGTATTAAGCGACCGTATGACGAAGTTTCGAGACGAGGTATAGACACGAAGTGAAAAACAGACGAACAAACTGGGTGGCGGAGCGCGTCGAGACGTTCGTGACGCACGTCGCCGCCGGCCGACGTTTTGAGCGATAAGAGGAAACGTGATATGAATGGCCGTTAACGCCGTAATCAGGAATATAATATTATTGTAAATTACGAAAGATTGCGATCGCACGGACCTTTTCATGGGGACATTATTGATCACGATGACACATAACATATCCGTCGCCGCGGGCATAATATTTTGGCGGGTTACACCAAGACACGAGGTTTATGATAAGGTAAAAAGAAACGTTTATTTACAACATAAAAACATAATACAAGTGATCGCCAGCTGACGGCTTTTGACGGAAGTAAAAGGCGAGCACGCAACAATTAAAACAACATTAGTTAAGAAAAACAATTATATGTAATAATTGTTCGGAGTCGGAAAACAATGCTTCGCGTACGGCGTCGTTGCGGATAGAGCGAGCGGAGCGGTCGAGAAGTCGAGTCGAGCGGAGCTGTGTACGATGACCGTTGAACGCCGACGGCGAGGGGCGTGGCCGACGTCCGCCGCGAGTGACGCGCAGCGGGAAGAAGAAATGTGGCGCGAAACCCGCCACAATATGTTAACCGGTCGACTAAATTGATTGTAGACACGTTTGTCCTACGATAACGGAAAATGGTAGTTTTTAGACGTTACAAGGTAGAAAACGAAGTTCACAATAATTAAAAGGAATTAAACCGGTAACGTCGTGCCATGCAAATATGTTCCCGTTTTACCTATAATTGTTTTTCGGATTTTACACAAAAAAAATATATATACATACACACTATAGTAAAATCATTAAATCTCTCGCTACGCTCTAAATCAAAAGAAATGGCCGTTCAGAAATACAACACACATTATTATGGTTTTTAAAATTGTTGACATGTTAGCATACGTACATACTAAATACATAGTACAATACACAAACAAAAATGATAGATAAGATGGGCCACTATTGTAGATGAGAAGGTGGGAATTTAATGTATATCTGTATGCAACGATGCTAACGAAAAAACGATTCTACGCAGAGTTCTGTTTTAAATGTTTTGAAAGGCTGTAATATTTACTATTTACACTTAAATTTGTTTTTAAAATTTTAATGAAAAAAAACATCAAATTATTTTTTAACCACAAAGTACGACTATTAATGAATCTCCAGTTAAGTTTTTTAACATTTCTGTTCGGTTTAACAATTTTATCCACATAGGTACCTACCGAATAAAAACTCGCAGTCGAAAAATTAAAATGTCTAAAATAGCTCGAAAATTGCTAAAACATTTTGAACATTTTACAACGTCTGGAAAAATCAAATATAATTTTTCTGTCCAAATTTCAAATCTCTACAAATATTTTTAACTGAATCACAACAAAAACATCATTTAAAATAATACATTTCATAATTATTTTTAAAACCACTTAAAAAATCAAAAAATTATTTTCTTAAGAACCACTCAGATGAAATTTCCTATAAAAAAAGTGATATACTTGATACATCAGAGAAAGATTTCTGATAAAAATGTTTTTACCGATAAAAAAAAGGAAAAAAAAGAATAACATCATGTTCAATAAAACCAATACATTCCTCGATTTATTCGGAATCTAAAATTACGTGTCTAAAAGAAAAATGACTTCATTATTTTGGAATTAAGTTTGTTTGCTCTTGTTCAAAATGTATTATAAAATTAGGTATTAGTGTCTGACCAGGGTCGTATATATGTGATTTTTCGGGGGAGGGGGCAATTAACTTTGTCGGCATTATATTCCTAGACCATTTAAGAAATAAGCTCCTCTACAATTTTATCTCTATGTTATTTTTTGTCACCCTTATTTTTGGGGGTAAAACAACTATCTACTTTTGGTTTTCAAATGGCAACCTATATTCAAAATATTTTTGTTTTCCGTCAATCCGTTAACGAGATATTCCACTTTTAAGTTTGGTTTGGAAGAGAATAGTGGATAATTTGTGTAGTGGTACGGCGCGCGGCGTGTTAATAATGCAACACTACTCTCCTCCAACCCAAAATTCTGAATGGAAATCTGATTGGGAAGGTACTTCAGAGAGGTCATTTTTCGATTTCTCCAGTTTTCAAAATAAATTCAAAAAATCGAGAAAAAACATATGAAAAAATGGGAAAATCGGTACAACATTGAACAAATATTGTTAAAAAAAATATATAATAATACGGAATGTATTATTTTACAATAATATAATAAACATATTATTGAAAAACCATCATTATCAACTGAACTCCGGTCAAAATCATTTTTAATAAGCAATAGTTTATTGTTGCTTACATATCCAAATTAATTTCCCCTCTATATCCTACATTCCCAACTTCTCACCAACAGTGTCTGCATCCATTGTGTGAAGTATGTCAGTCTTTTTTTCCATATGTTGATGTGGCTTTAAGAGCATTATAAGGTTTAGGTGCGTTACCCAAATTACACACAATTTCTGGGTAATTTTTTGGCCTCCAATTGTTCCACTAAAAGGTCTTTTTCTACACTTCGTCGAATAAAAAATTATTTAAGATCATCTGTCTTTAGAAAAACTTAAGTCTTGCATTTCTAAACATAGAAACTATTACAATTATATAATATTACAATATAACTTACAACTGTTATAAAACTTTGATAAACACATAACTGTTTCTGTTATATTCAATTTTGACCTTAAAAAATATTTATGGCACAGTGCAAAGTTACTGATTGTATGGTGGTTTTGTTTTTTATTTTTAATCACTGTTTTCTACCATAAATATTACTTTAATCAAAAACATTATTACCTTTTTTTGTTGAATTTTGTATTTATTTGATGAATAAGGAATTGTTTTTTATTGTTCCACATAGTTTTATTAATTATTGAGGAAAACTGGGAAAATGTAAAAATTGATAAAGATTTTTTAAGCATATTATACATACATTTTGATTGCATATTTTCAGAAAACATATAAACACATTGATAGTTATGAGTAAAATTATACAATTGACATACACAAAGGAGATAATATTATTTTAACCTGATGCAGCTGGTGAAACCTGTCTAATTAATTAATTTAAGCTAATACTAATACCTATTTAATTATAATGAGTAACACTACTCAATTTAAAAATTATTGTTATATGGTAAAGTACAGCAATTTATATAGCAACTCAAATTAATGATGGGTCAATATGAATTTTAGTATACTTGGTATTCTGATATTAGCTACTGAAATAAAACCAAACAGATCATATGATTAACAGACAATAGAAAAGTGTATAAAAGTAATTAATAGAGTAGAGTAAGTTTATTAATTTGTACTATAAGTACCTTGATCTTATTTTATGTTTTAAATAATTAATTAAATAGGTATGTAGATTTTGTAACAATGATTAATTTCTTGTAATTCAAATTAAACAGGTACCTACACACATTGATAAATTAAAATTTACACATTTAAGATAACTCAATTATACAAATAATACATAATGAAGCCTACTTAAATGTAATTACTGATTACCTATTTATTGTTATTTTAAATAATTGTATTGAGCTACATAATATGTTTAATGTTTTAATATATATTTTGATAGTGTAAGATTACACTATACATTTAATTTGTAAATATTCATACATAATTCAATATGATTAATTCTTATTCATATAAAATAAACATTAGCTAGTTGTCAAAAAAAATATATATACATATATATATATTTATACTTAAAGTTGATGGTACTATAATATTCTGTTGACTTTTGTTTTTTTTAATTTTAGAGAAAATAGAAAATATTAGTATCCTAATTCACACAGTATTTGTTTTTTTATTTAACACTAAGAACAATATTACAATGAATAATTTATGGTGAACATTGTATCAAATTTTTAAACCTTCTGTCGTATTAATTTTTATTTACATATAAATGAAAAAAGCTATTAATAAATAACTTACCTACTTGACTTAAATTTTAAAGCATATTTACCTACATAATTTTTTAATTTTAAGATGTATTTTTTTTTTTAGTTCCCAAAACTGTAAACAATTAATATGTCTTATGTATAATGTGGCTATACATTTGTAGTCAAATTTTTATTTAAATAATTTTGCTCTTAGTCTTAACAAAAAAAAAAATGTTTCTATCAATTTTGTTGTAAAAATGTGTCAAGTCAAAATATGTATAATATATTTATAGTTAACAACATATTTGGTAAAAATGAAAAATGATTTTCTCGACATAGAATGAGGCAGAATGATCTGTAATTAATTATGGTCAAACAATTATTAATACAAACAAATATGTGATACTCAATAGTTATGAAGAGGCAACATCTCACTTTACAACAAATATAAATTTATAATTCTAAAAAGAAATATCACTTAAATTGTAAATACATATGTATATAGTAAATGTATATATATATTATACGTGTATATAATATATTCATTTAAATTAAATAGTAATAAAAACATATAATTAAAGATATTAACACTTATATTGAATTTAAAACAGCAATAAAAAAAATAAATAAATAAATAATAACTATAATAGTAATATCTATCAGACATTGAACTATGTTATTTGTAAAATAATTTATATTATATTAATCGTATAGGTTTTTTTTATACACAGTCTTAAAAAAAATAAAGAACAGGATGTAAAATAATGTTTAAATAAAATAAAACAATTATTTGTTAGTTGTTTTTATGAAAAACTAGTATCATTTAAATTAAACAACTTATTATAAATATATACCTTAAAATTTTATTGGAGGTTTGAATAGAAAGATTGATACAATTATAAAGCTATAGGCTATCAGGACACAGTTTAAATTGATGGGCATGATATGGCATAAGTTGGTACAATTCATGTTATACATATATTACATTTTGCTTATATAACAGTAACTTAACTCATATCTGTAAACAAAAACCATTGAATATATTAATAATAATTTACATTTACATGTTTTTATTTGTGCATGCAAATAATTGATTCTTATTGGTTTATACAGTATTCAGTAACAAAATAACATTTTAGTTCAATATCTCACCTCTGATGATTCATTTTTCTCTGAATCTTTGATATTTGACAAATGTTCAATATTATTTTCAGTTTCTAAAATATAATATATTAATTAAAATTATTTAATGGAATAAATTATTCACCAGTAACATCAGTAAATTAAATATTTTCAAAATTAATAATAGAGGTCTAAAAGTCCAAATATAGATATATAAATATAAATAATGTATAGCACTTAAAAATAATAATAACATTAACAATGGTGTACAGAAAATTATTAATATTTAATCTGTAATCTACAATGATGGAAATTTTATTTTAAATTGAGGAATCAAAACATCTAAATTATACAATGATCGAAAACCTTGATAAATCAAATATATGGTGATCAAAATGCAGATATATTAATGCCAATTTAGAAAGTCCTTTTTGAAAGAAGAAGCAGAACATTTTGGGAAATTATTAGACCAAGAACAATTCAAAGCCAGTCACTGTATTTCAGTTCTATTGACTATAATTTAAACTTATAGCTTATCTAACCACTTTTTGGACTATTAAAAAAAATATGCAAATGCATATAAATCCAAGCCCTAGTAATGACACTTACAATAAAATTTACAGTCAATGGTATGTAAAAATTATTTATTGTACAACAAATTGTATAGATAATATTGAAAAATGATAATAATAAAAACCAATAATAAATATTACAAATTTTCTAATTCAAATTTTAATTTTTTTCTAAAACATTGATAAATAAAAGATAATTCTACATCTCTTCAACTTTTGGCTTATTAAAGTTATACTATATAATTTATAATGAATATATTATATTGGTGCATTTTAATATAGAACTATTTTAGCATTCAAAAATCATAGAAATTTAGCCTTTATTTTTAAATATATATTTTTCATATTTGTTTACTTAATCAAATATTTTATAATAAACTAATGACACTGGCATTTTAAAATTCACATATGAAAACCATACACAAAATAATTTCTTTAGAATATCATAAAAGAATTCAACATAACAAGTTTTCAATAGATACATTGATTAATTTCAATACCAAATGATTTTCTATTCTAAATATACATGGGTAGCATTTATCAATTAAAAATGGTATTGACCCATCTCTAGTTTAAATAATACAAGATTAAAATTCATAGTATGTAACCAGCTTATGAGTAATTAAACAGGGTGATTAATCTATCATCAAGCACTCATTATCTCGGAAAGTATTAACTGTTTGACATTTGTCTTGTAGAAAATTGGGGGATAGTACATAATTAACTCCACACATAAATGATGCTCCATTACTTTCCCTGACCAAAACTTAAAAATGGAATATCTCATCAAAGGATTTATTTTAACTACTACTTCATCTATTTATGGAATTATTTATATCGGTGCCATTTGAAAATCAAAAGTAGGTAATCATTTTCCCCACAAAAATTAGGATGACAAAAGATAATGTAAATATCAAATTTTAGAACAGCTTGTTTCTTAAATTTTCTTTAAAACAAATTTTGAAAAAAGTATGGAGATTTTTTGAGACAATGAGTGTTTTATAAAAGATTGATCACCCATATAATTCATAGTTACCATTATTATCTGTACAAGGCAACCCTAATGACTTTTCTTGAAAGGCATGAAGTCTCTCACGGTAAGTTTGTAATTCCTTTCTCATTTCTAACTCTTGTTTATCATGCTTTGAAGTTGATATCTAAACATTAAACAATTATTCAAATAAATACAGTGGATTTAATTAGAGATGTGACGAACTGTTTGATTTCCAAACTGAACAAAACCAAACACCTTTAAAAATTGAGTTCAAAACTCAAACTGTACCAAATTCCCAATAGTTCGAATCGTTAGATTAGAAAATCATTTAATGTCAATTATATATGTTATCGATACAATGTTCTGTAGTAGGACTTAGTAGCCTTGTTACAAAAAAAAAAAATTCTATTTTTTCTCATTAGTGGGTCTCATAATAGTAAATTACCAAACCTTCGTAACATCTCTAAATTTGTAATATTTTTATTGTTAATATATTTAACATGTAGTTAGAATACCCTCTATATAAATCTAAATATTAGTTACATTTGGCTAATGAAAAAACAAATTTATAGCAAAAATATTTATTACAAGTATTTATTTAAATCTTTGTATCTATTATCTAAAAGTTATTACCAAAAGTTCTGCAATTTGAGAATTCAAAGAAGTTACAATTGGTTTAACTTTTGTGATTCGAGACAACTGTGTAGCATATGCTTTGTACAAACTACAATTAGAATTTAAATTTGATGAACCCAAACTTAATGCAATTGTATCCACATCTGTAATGTTTAGTGATTCATTTAATACTGAAATAATTTCATTTCCTAAAATTTGTGTGAAAACAAAAAATAAGTTTATAAAGAAGTATAAAAATAAAATAAATAAATAATTATTATACCTTGAGATACAGCTGAAAGTAAAATTTTATTTGACTCACTATCAGCACCATCAGATGATTCAGATGTATTAGGCAAATTTGGCACAGGCATTTTAATTATGTCAGCCACTAATTTTAAACGTTCACTTAATGCTTCCTCTATAACCTTATTGTTTCTTCGTAATTTTTCTATCACAAAATAAAAACAATTACTAATATTTTCTAACTTAACCATAACATGAATTATTAACAAATGTAATACCCAGATGTGTAATGACTGGTTCAGCTTTTAGAACAGAACTTTGTGATATTAATACTTCAGACGGTTCAATTAGTGGACTCTTTTGAGTTTTAGATAATACAGGTGTACTATTGGCAATATTTAAAGTTTCACTATTTACAAAAGTTTCATCATTACCTAAGTAATTAAAAAGTTATACAAATTTAGTAATAATATAAAATAAGAGTATGTAAGTTGCTATTTTTTTTCTATGTTCAGGCAATCGAGAATTTTAAGAATACCAGAAAAATAATTATAACATTTTAGTTGTGATATTTAAATTACAAATTCATATAAAAGTTAAATTTAAGATTAGTTGTCCATCAAATCATTAAATAATTATATCATATCATAGATTTTATCTGTTGGTTTTTATAACCAAATTGAATAAACAAGTAATTAAAATTACAATTACTTCACTAATTGTTTTGACACTTTGAGAAGTCTGAATATTAAGAAAATTGGATACATATGTACCTTAAAACAGGGTTGGACAAATCATGAGTAAAAGTATTTTAATTATATTATACCATATAAAACCAAGTTTTAATTTTTATTTTAAAAAGTTATTATCACAAGATTTCATAATTAATAGTTATTATGTAATAATAATAAATTATATTACCTTTTTTCGGATTTTGTTTTTTAGAACATTTATTAAATAACCAACTCTACAATTTTACATTGATGTTATTTTTTGTTACTCTTATTTTTAAGGGTGAAACCACTGTCTATACTTTTGGTTTTCAACTATAAGTTTTCCTATATTAAAATTCCATAAATAGATTATTAGTAAATAGAAATAGAGTATTAGTTAAAATACATTTTGGTGTTGATATTCCACTTTTAAGTTTAGGTCAAAGGATAGTGGTACAAAATTAATTAGTGGTATCATATAAATGTGGTTTTACCCCCAAAAATAAGCGCAATAAAAAAATAACATTAAGTAAAATTGTAAAGCTGCCTGTTTCTGAAATGTTTCATAAATGAGTTACTAAAAAAGTTAATACTTTCTGAAATAATAAGTATCTTGTACTAGATTGGTTATTCTCTATAATATATAAAAATAGTAAAAGTTAAAAGAAATTAGAGTCCAAATGAAATATTCAACTGAAAAATCAAAAAATTTAATTGTTAAAGAAATCTAATGACCTCGATTATAATTATAGTCCTGGTAATGAACCCACGTGATAACACCAGACAAATGTTGTCATCGATTTTATCGCCTCCCTTTAATTAGATTATATCAACAAACAATATGCTTATATTACAAATAGATATTATAAGTATAAAACTGTATAATTCTAGAGGTTTAATACTTTATATATACATTTAAGTATTGTGTCCCAACCCTGTCTAAAAGTATTTAAAATACTGGATTATATTAGTTTTTATGAAATTCTCGACTACCTACAAAAACGAGTGCCTTGAACCTAAATGACAAATTTCTGACAGCCTAAATATTTAAGAGGTAGCAACCATTTATAATTAATATGAAATGAAAATTTACCACGTTTAAATATATCAAAATTGCTAGAGTCTAATGAAGTGGATAACTGAGAACTGTTTAAACTATTATTATTGTTATTGTTAGAAGGTTCTATGCAATTATCAATCACCCTGAAATTAAAAAGAGCAAGTTATCAGCATTAAGAAGAAACAAAAAAGCAACATTATGTTACTTACGACTTTTTTTTAGTACCCTGTATGTCTTCATAATCAATAATATGTTCTTGTTTTTTTATTTTGCTCTCACGAACTTTATATGATTCGGTAGCTTCGGAAATATGACGAAACCATCTAAAATAAAAAATTATTAATAATCATTCATTTCAAACTTAACTTTAAATACTTACGTTTTTCGCTCATTTGACGATGTAGTCACTAAATCATAAATTTGAGCACCTGCTTGAGACGTATTCACCAAGAACATTGCTTTTTTGTCTAGATGTATATAAACAAAAGATTTATAAAACTTCATTAATGAAGTAAATATATATTTGATAATACTTACCAACAGCATTGTGTCTAACTAAAGCTGTAGACATTTTAATTATTGGACTTAAAGTAGGAGTACGATCTTGGAATCCATAATATTTCAGAACATATTTGTCATCTACTTTGTTTAATAAAATAATCAAATCTTCTAATAACAAAACATGTAATTCTATCATTTTTTGACGAGTTCCTCCAATTCTCAACCACAAACCACCTTCATGTATTAGTTTATGTTTTGTAACATCCAGATTCTAAAAAAATTATGAGTACAAATATTATGTAAATGCTGAATTGACTTTAAAAATAAATATTAAAAAAATATATTTCAGTTTTAACAACCTTATATTCTACACTAAGTGTATGATCCACTTTTTCAAAAGGAGTTGCATCTAATTTTTTTTGTATATCTGATAAACGAAGGCCATCTTCAGCTTCTCGCACAGTTTGATTAACAAAATTTAAAATAACTTTACTTCTTTCAAATGATCGTTTAATATTTGATAATTCTTCTTCATTTGTTGAACATTTTACCAAACTTTCAAATAATAGCGGATACTTAGTCAACCTAAAATTTTAAAAATAATGTTGATTATTTAAAGCTATATTGATTAAAGTAAATGTATACAATTTAAAATACCTAATCATGCCTGTAGGTAAAATATCTTTTAGTTGTAAACGTTTACACACTGGATTAGCTTCAGCTTCGTTTAAAAATATATTCAATTTTGGTTCCTTCTTTCTTTTTTCTTTTAATGATTCTAAGGCTATTTGCTGCCTAGCACAAAATGTAGCAGCAGCTTTTTGAAATACCTCACCAGCATTTCCGTCAAACTACAAATTATACAGTAATATAATGTTATTTATAAATAATGATAGTTTCAAAGAGGTAATTTATAATAGGCTGATTAAAATAAATGTATAATAATTTCTGAATACTGTAAAAGAAAAATATCTAAAAACAAGTCATTTTTTTCAATAATTATTAAATTATAAGAATAGCATTGAAATCAGCACATCATAAATGATACAAAAATAAAAATCATACACATACAGTATTCAGTAAAACTTGTCCAATATTTTGGACAACGTGACTGTCTTTTCTAACAGTCTTGATAGCATTACAAAACTGCAAGTGTAAATCAATCATTTGTTCAAGATTAGCAAATAACAATTGAAGTTGGTCTGGGGGCAAAACCTGTAATTCTCTCATAGGTTTATGAAAAACATACTCAAGGACTTTCAACCCTGAAAAAATTAATAATTAAAATATTTATTAAATATATGTATAAACAAATACTATAAATGTTCAAATTAAATTATTTAGATATCTAAAAGGGTATATTATTATTAAATGTATATTACCTCTAATATGAGACCGTTCTGTATGATATAATTCATTTATAACTTCTTGGCGCTTTTTTTCTTTAGCTGATAATTGTTCCAATATTTCTGGTGGAACATTACTAGCCCAATCAGATAAATCAAATTCATTTTCTGAATCACTATCTAAACATGATGTTACTTGACCACCCGGTGGAATTACTTCCAAAGATGTACTACGACTATCCAAGCTTCTAGCAATAAAATAAAATTAATGAGTTTTTAAGTTCAGATATACATAAATACCACAAAAATTACTTGGTTGATAAATTGGAATTTGATGAACTATCAGATCGTGCAAATGAAACCTGTTGTATTTCTTGTTCAACATCACTAAAAAAAGCAACCACAACACAATAAACAATTTATTTTATTTTAAGTCATCAAATAATAAAACAAATTGTTTTAAGCAAATACATCAAAAAGTGGCATTTAAATGGATTGGAGTAAACAAAATAAAATATGTCAAACAAATAGTGTATTATATCTCCTAGTTTGTGTAACATAATACATAGTAGATTGTACTAACTTTTTATACTTTGAAGGAAGATTAGGGTCACTGGTTTTTCTTCTTTCACGAATTTGACGCTATAAATGACAAATATATGTTTAGATTATTGTCATGTCGATTAAAAATATTTATATTTATTTATACATATAATAAACATATTTAAAATTTTAAATATAATTTATGGATAATAAGCAAAACAAAAAAAATAATCATGAATAATTTATAATACCTTTTGATGAATACGTTCTTTATAACTTTCAGATCGGTTAATAGAAATTCCTGGGGCTTTTAGTTTCGAACACATAAACCTATAATAAGTTCATATTAAATATAAAATTAAACTTTACACATTAATAAATATAATACATACATATTATCACCAACATTTATTGTATCTGTTTTATCTGATTTAAAACTATCATCTGTTTTAAAATGAATATTACTTGCACATATGTTTGTTCGATCTACAAGTATATAAATAAATGTTAAAATTTTTTTTTAACTGTTAAATATTTGATTAATTAGCTCAATATAATATAGAGTTTGATGACAAATAAATGAAAATATAACAATATAATCTAATGAATACATTACCAGATTCTTTTTCTGCAAGATTTATATCACAAGAGTCCTCAGATTGTCTTTTTGATTTTTCCACTTTAAATAAATTAAGTTAATTTTTATTTAAATACAAAAAAAGAAAACAAAAAAGCATTATTACTTTGAACAAAGTTTGAACCCGGTTTTTTCCTGGTATCATTGCGTTCTGGTCTAATTCTATCCATTAATTTACTTATATGATTATTTGCTTTGTCCTTTTTATTTACAATTGGGCCAGGACAATTCTCATCCAATGTTTTCACACAACTTCGGTGAATATTTAAAAGACAATCTATAAATAAATTTGTATTTATTATTATTCTCTAGTTAATTATTTTAAATATACAAATCAACTTACTTGTACACTGATAACCTTGTGGTCCAATTCCCCAAATTATAAGTTGGCAATGATTACAATGTGTCGCAGTGTAATACTGGTGTGCAACAAAATTATGTCCTTTGGTATTAAACTGTAAATTAAACATTTATCAATTTTACAATTCATAGTTTATTTTAATATATAATATAAATACTTTTCGACATTTTCCTATAATTTTAGCCTTAAAAGATTTTTCTTTGGAAACAAAAGTTGGACATCGGTCCATAAGAATACTAGAAAGTGGCCCTCGAATACCAAACATTTTTGACATGACTGTAGTGAGAGCAGCACACATGGTAAATCTTTTATTGTCAAAAGTCTCTTTTTCCATGTCTTCTCTGAATAAAAAATGTAAATTAAAATTAAGAGACTAATAGATAATATCAATGTAATTTTTTTTTTTTTTTTTTTTTTTTTGTATACATAATTTACATACATAAATGGCTCAATATTAGGAACAAGAATCATTTCAATTATCCGTAGTTCTTTTAGTTTATCATTAATACTGTCATTTAGTTGAGAATCAGGTGGACCAAAAAGAGTACCCAAACCAGCTGTTCTGCGATGACGAAAATCACTTAACTGTTCATTTAGTTCTTCTTTGGCTTTGGTTCTTGCTTTCCAAAAAACCTTAAACAAACAAATGTTTATTTAGTTTATTAATTATTTTAATGCAAAATGGCACAATGGAATACATAGAAATGAAAAACAGTAAAATAATAATTATGGAACATTATAAAGTATACAAAAAATAAAATGATGTTAGTAAATGAGTATACTGGAAAACAAGAATCTGGACAGTCAAATTTGATTAGCCATCCTAAGTATTCTGTACATTAGATAATTGTGGCTGTAAGAGGTGGAATGAGTGAAAATGAAAAGGAGAGGCTGAGAAAAAGTTGAAACTGATGTATGATACTTTAAAGAATCCATGGAAGAGAAGAATTCACAGAATTGTTGAGAATATCAAGAATAAATAAGAATTTAAACAATTTCATTAAAGGGCTCATTTATTACTTACTTTACGCAAAATTTCTTCTCGGTCAGAATCTCTTTGTAAAATATCATCAATTTCTCTTACAACATTGTCTTCAATATTTGGCAGTCTTAATGGCTATAAGATAATTTGCATTAAGTTTAAATATTTATTTATATGATAAAAATATAAAACAACTTACAGCACCAGGTACAAGGAAACTTGAATGGATTTCATAAGCCCATTTTCTCATCTCTTTTACATTACCTTCTTTAAATAAACTTGTTACTAAATAGAACAACTGTAAAATAATATTTTTGTCAAAATAATTTCTTAAACAAAAAGAAAAATTGCATACCAATGCAGATGGATCACTATTTGATATGACATAATTTAAAAATACTGCCAGGTGTGCATTGTGTTCTACTAATTTAGTAAAACTTTTGAATGGTCCATGTTCTTCTTGCTGATTCTGAAATAAATTTTTACGACAAATAATAAATATTGTCATTAATTATTTATATAATAAATGTATACAATTTTTTTTTTCTTTTATGAACTTACAAACTCTTGATCAGAAATTTCATCATCTTCCATTGATATTATTTGACTTTGAGTAAGTTTTATGTCTGTAGAATCAACTGAATAGCGATCACCACTATGTTTAACCTTAAAAATTATAAAATTATAAATTAATACAAACAAAGTATAACAATAAAATAGATATACAAATATTTATATTTTTTACATCCATTGTTTTGCTATTTTTTGATTTTTTTTTTTTTCTACAAACTAGGTAAACATAAGTAATACCACACCAAATATGAAAACCAAAAATATATATTGTGGGAAGAAGAAAAATCATGAAAATTAATAATTATTTAATATTTATAGTTCCTAATTTATTTAATTGGTTTTTTTTTTCATTTTTAAAGTTCATACTACTTTAAATCCAATTTGCATATAAAATATGATTATGGTTAGTTTCGTATGTAAAGAATTTCAAAATTATATGAAAATTTAAAACAGCTAAAACATATAATAAAAACCTAACCAATAGACATAAAAATAAAAAAAAAACAATAAAATTGTTATAAAATATAAACAGTGTCCAAAAATTATTTTGAAGAAAAATTTATTTTAGACAATTAATCTTTTTTATCACTCATAATAAATTTGATATAATTAAGATGTACTTTCTCAAATAAATGTAAGTATACAATTGAGTGATAAGAAGATTACTTAGATGAAAAATGCATTACCAATTGTTCTGTTCAATATTTTTCTTTTTTGTAATTAAAACTAGAACCTTAATTTATGATTTCTCTATTATGTCTTTTTTTTTTTAACTTAATTCAAAAATTAAATTTTTTAAATTAGTTTTAAGTTTACAAAAATTAATAAAATTATTTTTCATGGAAAAATTGATAGATTAATATTTTTTGCTAGTGGCATTGAAAATAATTTAAAATATCATAAACTTAAAAAAAGACAGATGAGCATACTTTACACAATGGGTGCAGCCACTGTTGGTGAGAAATGAGAAGGTAGGATATAGAGAGGAAATTAATTTGTATCTGTAAGCAATAATAAACCATTGCTTACTAAATACAATTCTGTAAAGAATTGAGTTGATAGTAATGCTTTGTTATATTATGGTAAAATAATTGAATACCTATATATTTCTTTTAATATTTGTTTAATATTGTACCAATCCCCTCCCCCCACCTGTTTTTCCCAGTTTTTCACATTTACTGAGAACTCTTGAAATAATCAAAAATGACCTTCCTAAATTACCTTCTCAATCAAATTTCCATTTAGATCATAGTGGTACTATCATTTGAAATCGAAGCAAATAGCTGGTGGAAAATTTGCCCACAGAAAAAAAAAAATCATAATATTGTACTGATATATTTTGTACATTTCCCTGTTTTTTCTCACTTTTCCCTTTTATTGGAAAAACTGCTGGGAAAAATAAAAAAAAGATCACCCTCAAGAGAATTGTTCACATAAAAAAAAAAAAAAAAAAAAAAACATCTTTATAAATCCAATACATTATTCGTTACACTCAGAATCTAAAATTTTAGAAAATTAATAACTTATTAGTAAACATTTGATACTAAAATTTAATTACAAAATAGCTATTTATGATATTCTAAAAAAATATGTATAAAATTTAAGAATCATAATGTAAGGTTTAGTAATCATTCCATAAAAGAAAACTTAATAATATTAAACGAAAAAAAGTAATTGAATGCGTCAGATCTCCATATGTTGTAAGAGATAGAATCAATGGAGATTTAGATTGGTACTAAATCTCCACTGGTGGCCAAACCTAAATTGATCAAAATTGAGAAGAAAACTCATATTTTATGACAAAATGTACATTATATAAAAAATAAATTATAAAATGTATAATATTACCAATTCATTTTTTGATTCATCACATGAGTTTGAAACATCAGATCTGTTAGGAGAATGTCGAGGGGAAGGTTTTAACTCCCATGCTAAGCCACCCTTGGATTGTTTAACAAAATGTAAATCATTGAAGGACTCAGATAAACAAATTTTTTTATTACCTATAACATAATTAATGAGAACATTTTTAGTCATAATTAAATAAACATTACAGTTACAATATAGAATTATGTGTATGACCTAGAATCAAAGATAAAGAAATGTCTTACATTAATACTTTTACATTTATTTAACAAAATAAATTTAATTACTAACCTATTAATTTACCTTCACTTAGTTTATCAGGGTTAGATTTTGTACGTTGATGACACAATGACAGATTAGGAGAATCCTGAAAAAAATATGTACATATGGTTTAAATAATGATATACTATTAACTATTAAATATGATTAGTATATCTATGAAGAACTTAGTTGAAATTTAGAAGTTATAAGTATATTTTGTTTTGATAGCAAAAAACTATTTAATTTTTAAAATACATATGCCATTATGAAAAACACACAAAAACATTAGAATATAAACTATTAAAATTAAATAATACAAACTGTTTATAGCATTACTAATAAGTAGTTTACTTTTTTTAAAACTTGTGTACCTACCTTTTTCGATTTTACAATAATAGCTTATGTTGAGAAAAGATATAAAATATAATACATAGTGTATATATATATATTTTATGATCTGACATTAATAATTGGTTATCTATTATCTTTATTTTATCAGTATAACATTAAAAAAAATATAAAAATTATTACTCTGTAATATTATTTATTTAAATTAAATAATTAAAAATTGAAAAATTAATTCTTTTTAAAACATAATATAAACTAGGCTGTAATTATTCAAAGAATTAAGTCATACTTACAGTTTGACTAATGTTAACACCAGTGTTAAGTAAATTATTTGACTTATCATTAGTCAAAGTTGGATTTCTGGGTGGCAGGGGTGGAGCATTTCTAGGTGGTAAAGGAGGTGGGTCAAATTCAGATACTTGTGCAATATTACAAAGCTGTCAACATATATATGCATACAATATTGTTAAAAAAAAAAAAAAAATACAAAACATAAATAAGGATATTACTGAATTGGATTGTAAAAGTTAGAAAAATAAATTGAAATCTAATTAAGGAAAAAACTATGGGAATAGTTTTAAAATAAAGGTAAAAGACTAAAAACCCAAAAGATAAATGTAGGCATTCTATGCAATAAAATAAAGTGTATTGGTGCCAGATGTCCTTACTGTCCATATTTTTATAATAATTTATTTCATACCAATATTATTATTATTGAATAATTTTATAAAATGTCAATGAAATAAAGATCTCAATTTTGTTTTTTGGTTATTATTATAGAGTTTTATGAATTTTCTTAATTTGATAGACTCAACTAAATCATCTCATATATAAATACTTGAATTACTATAGGATGCTTATGTTTAAAAAGTCATTAATATAAAATTGTTGTTTAAACCATTATCATTACAGAAATTATGCAAATAATCAGTGATACAATAATTATTGGTTCACATTTAAAAAAAAAATGTATACAATAAGTACAGTAGATTCAAAAAACTGGATCTAAAACAAATACTTTATTGAAATATGAATATATTGGTATTTTTTTTTATATAGGAGGTTCTTAGATAAAAATCTATAATATATTAAGGGAATTATGTTTGTTTTTGTTACATTATATTGAATATTATTTAGGAATTGAATGTAAACCAAGGTTGGTCAGTATTTTCTATAGAATATTCTTGGATTTATATTATTCAAAAGAAATATAATAATCAATTCCCAATGCATGATATTCTCAGTCAGCAGTGGCAGATGGCTGTACGGTCATGATAGTGCAATATTTGTGCACCAACAAACCACTAAGTCTAATGGTAGTAATGGGAATGAAAAGGTCAAATGTACAAAACTAGTACAAAAATTGTATTGGCCCATTCATACTCTGTAACCGCTTGTATTGAGTACAATGACATAATTATAACATGCTCTAACATTCGTTTTTCACAGTGTTTGTTATGTAAGGTCCTTGTCACACTGGAGCAATGCGATATAAAAAAATAGTTGCCAAGTAAAATATCGTAAGACCTGACATCCTCAGTTCTGCACACTATAGGCAACTAGTTTCTCAATAGCTGTCATGTCATCTTCTAAAGATGACAAATATTGTGTTATATCATATTGGTATAATATTTCATGTCTTTCGTGTTTTATCGCAATCACATCGCATCAGTTGGAGGTCTCCGATATATTAATCCGTGTTTTATAAAACAAATAATTATCACAGGATATTTATTTATGATCGCATCGCCCTAGTGACCCTAGTAGCCTAACTCCTCCAAAACCCCTTAACCAATTTTCATGAAATTTTTTGGGTATATTTGGTAGGTCTGAGAATAAGTCGTTAAGTAATTAATACCCTTCTACTCTTACCCACTATTTTTAATTGCGATTTTAGTAATTTTGCTTATATATGTATATACACGCTGGCACGCACACACACACAAGAGCAACACAAAATAATTTAGCTTATGATATAATAAATACATTTTTGTTTGTTGATTTGTGTTACCCCAGTAACAGGGATGAAAAAAAATGGCGATTAATTGTTATAAGAAATTAGTCAGAGAAAATCATGTGATTATTAAAAATGGTCCAGCCATTCTTGAATAATAAATGGTGTAACTAACCTGACTTTGTTTTATTAATATAAAATGTTTGTTTATTCAAGGGTTACCACGAAAAAAAACTATTATAATTATTATTATTACTATTATTTACACTATTCAAATTTTACAATAAAACATATTCAGTCTGCCGAAGGTGGACTACCCACTTTCCGCCTCTTTGTTTTCATTCAATTCTAATATAGCCAAAACCAAAAGTGAATATGGGTAAAATAATAATACAAATGGGCACAGTCCAGGCCAGGAATGGGACAGCTAGTATTATAATAATAATATATTTTTATACTTTAATAATATAACAATGTATAGTTTTAAAAATTGTAGGTGGTGCACTGCTCCTGTGCACCATAGCATAGCACAAGCTGCCACTGCAAATAATCATACAAATTCTCAAATGCATACCCAAATAACACAATAATAAATATCCTAGGATACAATGAGGACTCTACCTACTTTATTCTCACAAGGTCCTGTACTAATATTCTTCAAATATCTGTTTAACAAAATGATAATAAAAATATTAAAAAAAAAAACCAATGACACTGCCATAAAGCTATCCTAATTATATTTTTGGTAAGGACATACTAATGATAGTTGTAGTATTTATAGTTTTAAGTAGAAGCTACATATAAATAAAAATGTGGCCATTTTGATAGAACTTCTTTATTGGTTTAACACATTTTTAATCATTGCAAGGCCTTAGTTTAGAGTTTAATGTGAAACTAGATTTTCTTAACATAGTACCTAAATAGAAATGTATTTTAAATTCTGGGTGAAGAGAAGGATCTATTGGTTTTACTATGATGTATACTTTTTTCTGTCTGTAAACAACTTTTCTCCAAGAAATCTTGATCAATCAAAACATGACAAAACTTGTTCTTTAGGTTAAAAAATATTAAAATAAGGTTGTCATTGGTAACCGATTTATTTATTTTTGTTAAGTTTTTATTATTTTAATATTTTTAAATAGGCTTTTTTGCCTTATAAATATATTTCCATCTATATCCTGCCTTTCTAATTTCCAACTTCCAATAGTGGCCACACCCATTAGCTTTTTTTGTTTTAGTTTTGAATCCTGAATTATCTAAAGAGTAAGCCACTCTCTTATTTATCTTTTCTCTCTACTAATTTAAAGAATATTTACAATTTTACCTATGAACAACCAACATCAATTACTAAATAATGGAAATATTATTTATGGAAATTAACTAATTTTTAATGCAACTTGATAAGTTAAGAAACAGTAGAGGTTGATTAATGGATCAAATCAAAACATTAGAAAGTTTTTACTCAATTTATGCCATAAACAAAATTCTAACCATTCTTAGTAAACCTATGTAACTTATAATACAAATAGGATGTTCTTAGTTTATCTTTACAAGATGTCCTAGGTATATATATATAAATTTACTTTTAGATAAACAAAAAGTGTATATCAATATTCTTAGGACATAGCCTGGAGATTCATACAACGAGGTGTGTAATTAGAGTAATGAGACTAAAGTAAATTAATTCTGGTTGCATAGTATACGATCTGCAAAAAAATAGTGACTATACATTTAGTGGGGTGATAAGCTAACATTTAATGCACCTTCAATATGAATTTAAAGTCACAATTTAGTCAGTAGTGATTGTTTTTATAAACTTGGTTCTTCTAGAACATTCTCCAATGGCGTGATCAAACTTTAATTCCGGCTTGGACACGATAAGACAGAAACTTTTCAAAAAAATCAGTACATATATGAAAACAATGAATTTAAGAAGGCTCAGGTTTTTAGGTGGTTTAGGCTTTTAAAGAAGGCAGTCAATTGAAGATGAATCTTCCAGTAGAAAGCTAGGCTGTTGACAAAATACCGGTTCCATATAACTTCCGAAGTTTCTGAAAAGTGTTTATCATGATGTGCCAAAGTCTGAAGCAAAATCAAATAGCATACCATTGCTCAAAATTGTTGTCACTTATTTTCAAACAACACAAAAAAATTTTAATTTACGTAAACAAATCTCTTAGGACTAACAAGCAGCCTTACGAAGGTTAAACTCACGACTGAAGGCTCATACTAGGTTTTCATTCAAACGAAAACCCATCAATAATATTTCATTACTTTATTTGCACACCTTATATATTCTATGGGGATTATTGTGTTATCTGGATAAGTGTAAAATATAGACAATTCTTAATATTATTATCTGTTAAAAACACTACAATTAAAAATCATAGTTACAAAACCATTACTAGGTAGGAGGATGGATTTCATATTAATATTTTAGTACGGATTATATCCTAATTTCTTAGAATAGCTTAATTAATGATTATAAAACATATTAGTAATGTAAATATGAACAGCAAAAAACATAAACCATCAAAGGATAGTTACAATATACAATAGCAGAGTTTCAACAACTTAAAAAAAATATTTGCACTTAAAGTTTAAGATCAATAATTGAATAAATCAAGTTAAATTAATTTAATTGAAAATCTGCTAAATACTAATATAGTTTAATAAAAACTACCAAAATTCAACACCAAATGTGTAATATAAAACTTTCTATAAAAAATTTAATCATGCTAGTATTTCCATTAATTTTGTAAAAATAATATTTACAGAAAACCATTCACAATACCGGTATTTGTTTAAATGTTGTTAATTGATCTTGCAATGTCTTAACTCTACGTTCAGCACCAGATAATTCTCTTTTTAATTTATAATTATCACTGCTAGACATTTCTGAAGATTTTTGGAGATCCTTTTTTAATGTTTCAACATATCTTTGTTCTTTTTCTAACATAAGCTTGAATGTATGCCACCTTTCTAGTTCAACATGTCTCATTTGCTCCACCTTGAAAATGAAATACAAATTTTGCAATAGTTTAAATGACTTTTTGTACTTTAACAACTAAAATTTTTAAATAGTTTTTAACCAGTAGCCTCATTTCAGTTTTTAAGAGGAGGGTGGGGACAAAAAATTTGACAGCCCATAATAAAACTGAAAAAAAGAAGTTTGATAACTTATTTGCTACAATTAAATTTTTATTTTAAATTTTCAAATATCCTTCTTACATCGGTTTATACTTACTTCAAAATAACCCATTTTTTTTAAAAGCTAACAATGACTAAATAATATATATGTAGAAAGATACCTAATATATTGACTATTAGCTACTATATTCAGACTTAGTTTGAAGGGAATTTTAGCCCAATTTATGTTATATTTTCATCAATAATGATGGAGTATTAAATATCATAAAATCATACAAATTAATGACATGAATCATGTTTACTGGCTTTTGGCCCAAAACTAGCCTAACACAAGACAATACTCGCCCCCCCACCACTAATGACAAGGAGAGGCAAATTCCTCCCCTCAAATGACACCACTGTTTTATTTTAATTAATTAATTTGTATACATGTAAAAAGTACTAATATTTTGTATTAATAATTGTATAATATATATATTATAATTTATCTAACCATTTATCATAACCTATATTTTAAAATATCTATCATTAAAACCAATTTAAATGTCCTTTAGTTTAATATAGGTATGTCTATTCCAAAACAATACATACATCAACCGGTTGTGGTCCTGTTATTCTATCACGTGCAGGAGCAGAATGATGATGGTGCAATGGTCTAGAGGAAGCTATAGGCGAAGAAACAGGTGTTGGAGACACAGATGTCAAATTCATTATTGGTGAATTCATTGGTGCTAATGTTATATTAGGATTTGATGAATTTATAAACAATGGTCTTTGCTGCACTGTTAATTCAACTTGTGTAGATGCTGAAAATAATAGGATTATAATATAAGGGACAAAATAACGGTTTAAATAAAAAATCCTTATAAAAAACTTACATTTTATCAATTCTACCACATCTGAATGTGTAGAAACTGTAACATTAATACCATTAACTTTTACAATTTTATCCCCACTGTGTAAACCTGCTTTTTCTGCTGCTCCACCTTGTTTAACAGATTGGACAAATACTGGATTATCACCAGAAACCTTCATACCATACCCGTTTTCATCTTTAACTACTACAACAGTTAATGTAATTGTAGATGGTATACTTGGTGAACAATCTAAAGGTTCAATAATCAAAGGTTGAGATATCTGTTCAATTGGCCTGTAAAATACATAAATATTCAATATAATTCATCATTTATTATTCATTGGAGGATTCTTTGTTTTTATTGAAAATAAGTATGTGCATCAATTATAGAAATTTAATATACCAAACAATGCATTTATTAGTTCTTCAATCATTTAAACCAACTTTTTATAATTTTAAATATAGTGTCCCGCAAAGATATAGGTACTTATTGCAATATCTTAGAAAGCAATAACTTTTTTTAACAATTTATGAAACAAGCACCTTTTTGCAATAGAATTGAACTTTTTGGACTACCCACCAATTTTTGATTTTTAAGTGGCAAGCTATATTAAAAATATCATAAATAATGAACTAATTTAAGTGCATTTTGGTGTTGATATTATTGAATTCTGACAAACCATTAACAACTTTCTGTCTACCCAAATTACCCTAAAATAAGAATGACAAAAAATAATGATACTGTAACATTTTAGAGCTGCTTGTTTCTAACAATGTCAAAACATAATAATGTCTACTAATTCACTACATATTATTACAATTATTGACTTTTTAATAATTTTATTATTATAAAATCAAATTTTAATTATAGAGCATAGGTAGTGCTCGAAATGATTAAAAAGACCAATTGATGGATTACTTATTTTACATTATAAAAAAAAAAAAAATAATATATGCATATTAATGAATATATTTTGTATCCATATTATGGCATAATCTGTTTTCTAGATTGACTAAATAATAGATAATATATTTTTCAGAAATACTATTAATATCAGATATAATATTATTATTATTATTATACCATACAGATTCCAAGAAAAAACAGCATTTGCAAACATGTCATTATACGCTATCAGTGTTGTCTTAAGGCATAAGACTGAAGGGCCCAAGTCCATGGCTCTTGAATTTTAAGAAAACAAACTTTACAAAAATTACATTATTTAAAAAATATTTACCACTATATCACATTTATTTTTTCTTATATTAAATCAAATGATAAGTATTAAAATTAATTTTGTATAAACATAGATAGTGTAAATTGATCAATGAAAAAAAAAAAATCAAAAGTTAATTCTACATTTTAAATTTAAAATATTGTCAACATAGTGAATGTTATTTATAAATCATCCATAAATAAAAATATCCATCAAAGCAAAGGAAATCCATCATGTTGAAGTCAGGCTTTTGGGTTCAAAAATGTCAAAATATTGAAAAATCACCCCTATATTTTTCTCTTCCCCTCCTTTACATGATTCATGTTATACAGTCAGAATATCCTTTTTCCAACTTCCCACAGTAATATACAAGTTTTTCTTTTATGAAAATTTGTACACACATCTTATAATAATGATTTCATTATCAATACAGCATCCTAAAAATGTCAAATTATCGAGAAACGATAAATAGGTTATCGATTTGTATGTCATATTAAATATCAGTAAGTAGTAAAAAATTTCAATTTTTTGAATTTTCTGACCACATTCGCAGTACTGTATGATTCTGTAGTATGATTGATGTTTTTATTTACAATAGTTTGTAGCAAAGTGATACATAGTTTATTACATTATGTAATATGCATTTTTATTTTAATTTAATATTGTACATTGTTTTATATAATGTGAAAGGAAATCTCCCATATTATTGGAGGAAATTGGAAAATGGATATTCTGACTGTATACCATGAATTAAGTAAGGGAGGGGAAGAGAAAATATAGGGCTGGTTTTTCGATATTTTGACTTTTTTTTTGAACCCAAGAGGCAGACTTCAACCAAAAATCCTTCATATTTATTAGCTATAATAATATTTATTATGAATTTATTTATTAACATAATAGGAAGACAAGTGCTAAATAAACATCTTTTGGAATTAAATGTGGCAAAATATTATTTATTAAGGTGTTGATTTCACTCCTGACTGTTCTAATATTAATTCAAATGATATTCATTATATGTCATTTTAATGAAATCTTAGTTGAACGGTTTTTGAAATTTATTCCTATTGAAGAACATCGATCTGACTAAGTTATTATACCTTTCCTTAAAAAAAATCAGTTAAATTTGAATGATAATCAAGGCCAGCTGTATGGAAATGTCACTGTTTTGGGAAATATGCAAACTTTGAAAATAAAAATTCTATTCATTATAATTGAGGAGCTGGGTGCAAGAAGGGCATTTTCTAAAAAATATGTTTTGAGATAAACAAAGTTAAAGTTTCAAATGTCTGACACTCTTTTGGATCTGCTCACATGGTTATAAAACTTATGTCATATGAAAGATCGAATTTTAATGAAAATAATAATGTCTTTGTTTAATTTTTCTTTGTGTCTACTAAGTTTTAAATAAGAGATATTTGATTGTGAAAAGCCCTTCTTGCAACAAACAGTAATTACGTGTTCTATTTCAATTGAAATGATTAAAGAACTTGAATTGTATTAATTTATTCATAACTTTTGAATAATATGAAAATAATAATAAATAATAAACTATAATTTAATAAATAAAAATGACTAAATAAATACTTAATAGTCGCAAAGCATAACACATTGCAACAAAAACACAAACCTACTGATAATAATTTAGAAACAGTTTTTTACCAAACCTATTAATCTACAACGAAAAATAACAAGTTATCATAATATTATTTTTAAATCATTGAAAAATAAAACTATATTATTTATAAATATAACATACATAGTATGTGGTCCTATACAAGAAAGGCATTTACACACAATCACATAAATGCTTCTACAGTGCTCAATTATTAAAATTTCAAACTAAAATTTTATACACATATAGTAGACTCGCTAATTCAAAAAAAACATATTAAGCAAATGGGTATTTTCATAAAAATGACTTTCTTGCACCCAGTCCCTCAATTTATTATAGGTACATTAATTGTATCTCCTTCAAAATACTCTCTGTCTATAGCAATGCATGCACTTATCCCATCTTTGTTTTCATTGATCAAAACATTCCTCAAAACTATTCAGCTCCAAGTGCTGTCCCACATTGCATTTTGGGAACAAAAAGAAAATAACAATCTAGCTAAATCTGGAGAATATGAGATCAAATGTTGTGATCAAATTTTTGACCAGAAACTTACAAAACAACAGACAAATGTGCAAGCGCAGTGTCGCTTTTGCACATACATTAGTCTGTCCTGTTTTCCTCAAAATTGTATACACAGACAATTTTCCAATACTCAGTGTATCAACCAATATTCTATCAATAATTCTTCGACCAGAAAGTACAAGAGACTACACATATTCTATGTTTTAGTCATCACAAGTGATAGAAGGGCGTCCTGGTCTCACATCGGCTTTGCAGTCTTCACAGCCTTCACAGAAACGCTTAATCTACTTAAAGAATTTGTGTTCTTCAAAGTATTATCTCCATAAACAATATTTAAGAGAACACTGCATATGCATTTGTTGTTAACAATCGCACAATATATAGTTAAAACATATTACACAGAACTTGTTTAATTTTAGTTTTAGAGTAAAAACACCTGTTATAAAATTAAAAGAAACAATATTCCTAAGGATAAGACGTTGATTTTATTTCCATTTTCTCTGAATATAATAGTCAATTTACCATTTATAAATAACAATTTTTCAACATTTTTGAATAACTGAAACTTTAAAAAAAAAAAGTTTTTAAAATAACGGAATATTCTCTCCAGAAAATTGTTTTATATTCATTCTATATAGGTGTGTTTACTTTAAAACCAAAACTAAGCGAATTCAGTGTTGTCTGCATAAGAATGTTTTTACTATATTGTGAGTTTGTATGATGGAAACAACAAATGGATGTATAGCATTCTCTTAACACATTTCATGAATTTTACCAAAGTTTTTTCAAGTTTCACCATTCACTTTTTGTTTGGTTAATTCGTCGATTTCCATTACATCAGTAAGGAAAAATACATCGAAAAAAACCAAATACGAAAACTATACTTACCTATTCTATTGGTATTATAGTCTTGACAGTTGATCTGTTAATTGTAACTGTAGTGCATAACCAGAATAGCATGGTGTTGTACTTTGTCCCACAGATCGCTGTAGAGAACTGGTTTGAGTATTTATCAGACATACTATGTACAAACCAGAATAAAAGAAAATTGTAATTTTGCTATTTTTGTTTCATACTTAGAATTTGATTTTTACAGTAGAATGTGTTATGGAATCAGCTAATAAGTTATTTTCAATTTCTACCTATCGTTGGAATATCATGAAAAAAAATGCCTAGGCTCACATTATGTTTTAAAGTCACTTTCAGAAACTAGATAGTTTGATCAAGTTGATGTTATTACTGTGCCTTAAGTAATGGTTACTATGAAATTTTAAATGCTCTTAAAATAATTAAAATAGATAATAAGACCACGCCAGATGTTAAAAATTAAACACATGGCTCAATTAAGAAAATGGAAAATTGTTGAAATTGTTGTTCTGACTGAACTATGAAGTAAAATTTTATCAAGAATTAATAAAAAAACAATAAGAAAACCTTACTATTGATGACGGTTCAAAATTATTTGATTCTCTTGCTGGTTTTCTAAGTGAAATTAGAAATGAATTTTATAGTAATTAAACTATCAGTTAACATACATTTTCAGATTCTAACTATAAAGATTTACATCAACAAACTAAGAAGAGGAGTATTCGTTTAACATTTCCTAATAAACAGACTAATGAAAGTATATCATTTTCTGATAGAGAAAAATTAAAAAAAAAATTTACTTCCAAACTATTATAGATGTAATAGCTCTATTAAAACATTGTTAAATAACAAATCAATTTGAAAAGTTTAAAGACAAAAGAAATACAAGTCTATTGTAAAACATTTGTGGAATTTTACAATTTAAATAATGAATTAATTTAGCATATATACATAAGAAAGCATATATTCAAAAGCCAACTTCAAATTTCTGAATTCAGTATTTCTAGTTTAAAATCAGTTTGCTAAGAAGAAACATTTTGAAACATTATAATACCTTTCAGAATTTTTTTTATCGATGATGATTACCAACTCGAGTGTAAATTCAATTAAAGAAAAACTTGGAAGTACCATGAACCAGAAACGCTTAAACTGCTTACCTTTAATGAGTACTTATCGAACATGAACTACCTAGGTATTATCAAGTTTACATTACAAAAATGTTATATAAGACTTTGCAAATGACAAATCTAGGTACAACCATTAAATAGTATTCAAAGTAAATAAACATTTTATTTTAAAAATTGCATTTATTTTTTAATTATATAAAGCATTAATGTAAAAGATAGAAAAAAATTTACTTTTTATTGATAAATATATTTAATAGGTAACTAATAATACATTAGGTATGTATCAAAAAAAAATCTAAGTATATCTTAATTTCAGTATTCAAAGGCTCCCAAATATATTAGCCCTCTCAAAATCTTAAGACAGCGGCGATACAACAGTGGAATAGCCCGTTAGTAATAGGTACTTAATAATGAATATTAATTAAAACATTGGCTATGATAAAATTATTATAGACATTATAATGTTTAATAGTTTTATAAGCTATTATTTTGTATATATTTTCTTGGACAATATTACCTGTTGAGCCTGTTTTCCTGGACATTTTCTCTTGTTACTTATTTATGAGTACATTTATACATAACACAGGTAATTAATATGCTTATTTGATAGTTTTAGATTGAACCAATAGAGTATTTAATAAACTCATAAAAATATTTTTCAATCCAAAACTTGATCAAATTTAACTTTGAATAATCTAATAGAAAATACAATTTTAGTATCTAATATCCCTTAAAAAAAATAAGAATAAGTACATTATTTAAAACAGTCCAAACCTATCTAACATGAATATTTTTGATAAATCACTTATAAATGTATAAATAGATACTTCAGCTACCTATTTAAGTTATACAAATTCCCTAATTACAAACATAAAATAAAAAAAAAAGTACATCACCAAATGTATGTCCTCGTATACATTTTAAGGTTTTAACTAATTATTGATAACTTGATTTGTTATTATTTTTGCACATGGACACCCAAATGTAAAATATTCTAATTTTGAAAAAAAAAGAACCATTGTATTTGTTCATTTATTTGGTCAAAACAATCCACTGAGTCTATCGTAAACTTATAGAAGACATGTTATACAAGTACACCCAGTACATGAACAAAACTATAACAAAATCAAATTGATTAAGTTGAATCCCGGTTAAATCATTAGTTTTATATAATACCTACATATTCTAAAAGCAACGGTAAAAAAAATAAAAACGAAAAGTACTAACTATAATACCGACGAAATAAAATCGAAATTTTAAATACTAACCAATAACGGAGCAACAATAAATTCATAATACAAAAAAAAAAACCAAACAATCTACCCATTATGGTAAATCATTTTTTTCCAGAGGTGTACGAATGTACGATAACGCACAAGTACCTAGTGGTGAGATGTATTTGTTATCAGTAACTCAATAATTTGTTTTTCTTTAATAATATTAACACGGGTACCTGTGTACTTCGCAGAATGTAACAGTTTATATTTACCTATAGGGAAACTTTTCGAAAAAAATGTTTTTGAACGAATTTAAAAAAGTAGGTAATACTACTTATCGATCAATTACTCGAGTAAATATCTAGGTAGTTACCGTTCTCGAGAGACTGTAACAGATTACGAACTCGTAATTAAACTGTCCTCAATCGAATAAAACGCAATATAGGTAGGCAGGTGTCCAAAAAGGCACAAGACGTTAATTGATAGTTATTTACGTGGGATATAAATTAATAATTCAGATCTGGTGATAAAGTGCGTATTACGTATCTAAATATGGAGACGCGGTAATATCGGCATTGTAACGACGGTTCGTCATAACACCGCTGGGATACCCAGTGTAAATACGTGTAGGTATTGTGATTTCGTATTACCGGTCGTAATGCAGGCAGGTAAAACGTACCGACGAAAGAAACCAAAACGGATAAGATAAGCAGATGGTCTTGTTTGTTGACCTTGAAACAATGAAACTCGGGAAGATAATAACAAAATACCTAACCCGAGGCGTGCAACAAGAGCGACGTCCGACCCGGGCGAATCGGCGGACGGACAAGACGACGGTCCGGGGCCACGGGCCACGGGCAAAACCCTACCGACGTGGTGCGCGCAAGACGGACCGTGAGTCATGACGAGAGCGACAAGAACGGCGGTCGACGGACAAGCCGAGCGGTACAGCGTAACAGTGCCTGGCGGCCGTACGTAGGTGGTGTCCAAGAGTGAAACGGCGGAGACGACGAGGACGCGCGCGTTTCGAAAGAATGCATAGGTACCGTACCTTTCGTTAGACGTATGGTCCGCCGCGGCCGAATGATCCATGGCGGACTGTTCAGGACGGCGGTGCACTCTCGAGGAGCCTGCAGCAGGTGACGGCGGCTGTCGACCGGCGGACGTTTTCGATCATGACGTCTTACATGCCGACGACGGACCTTTTGCATCGGTGTCGCGCGCACCAGATATCTTTTCGGCTCTGTCGCTGGGTACTCACTGCATCCGGCGGAAAAACGGTTTGAGCGCGATTATTTCGGCATCCGGTGCGTGTGCGTCGTCGTTAACGTGTGTGTGTACACTGTGTACTGTGTACGTCCGCGAGCGCGCGGGTGTGTGCGCGCGCGCGTGTGCGTCTGTGCGCGCGTGTGTGTGTATGTGAGAGTATGCGCCGCGCGGGCGCGCGCGCCTCGCGCCCCGCTGCGGTTGCGTGCGTGCGTGCGTGTTTGTATACAAGTATGTGTGTGAGCGCCGCGCGCGTATGCGTGTGCGCGAGTGTATGCGTGTGCGGAGCGATGTACACGGAGGAGAAAAAAAAACCGCGCGTCGACCGACGGGACGGGTTACCTACACGCCAGCCAGCCAGCCGGAGAGATCCAAGAGATGGTACGCGCGGTAGTGTGCGTGTGGCGTACCCGCGCGTCCCGAGAGCACGGAAAACGAGCGGCGGCGCCGAGTTCGGTGGGCGAGGAACCGCGAACCAGAAACGAAAAAAAAAAAAACAAATCAACAAGTAACCGTCGAGCGCGAGCGCGCGTATCGAATAAATAAAGTGGAAAAAAAAAATTATGATAATAATATCCTGATTTCTCTCGCACTGTTATCGCACCGCGACACCGTAGTCGTTATTGTTATTGTTATTGTTGTTGTTGTTTTTTTTTTTTTTCTTATCCGTCTGTTCAGGTATTATTTAGGCACCGATCGGTGGGATCGGCGCTCGGAGACGTGAAAATTCGTCATTGCGCTATTATTGTTATTATTGCAGTAACGTTATGAGACGGTGCGCGGACGCCCAAATATCGACAGTTATGATTGTGTACCGTGCGTTTATTTTCGCGGCGTTGTTGTCGGGTGGGCGAGGGGGAAAAGGAATAGTAACCGGGAAGACAAAACCGAAACGGTAATTAAAACCGACGACGCCGCGGCCGAGCCGGTGTAGTATACGGGTGATGTCGTGTTGTTGTTGGGCCGTACGTACGGCGCGACGAAACGGCCGAACGCTGAAACGCGATCCCCACCACGTCTTCTTCGCCGGGGCAGCCGCCAGCCGGTCGTCGTCGCCGTCGCCGCCGCCAACACCGGCTGCAGCCGCGACAACGACGACGACGTCGAGATTGCGGCGCGGGGCACGGCGGCCGCACCGTAAACCTACATAATATTATTATGATTATGATTATCATGATTATTATGTTCGCCGTGCCTCGAGCGTGTGTGCGCTTGCGCGCGCGCGCGCGTACGTACGAGGAGCTCGCCGTTCGCGTACGTGCGTGCACGCGTGCGTCCGTGTGCGGCGGTGTCTATTTGTTCGCGCGTTTGTGTGCGCGCGTAGATACGTGTATATTGTGCGCGTGTGTGCGTGCGTGCGCGCGTACGACGACGTAGCCCGCCGCGCGAGTAACTACAAGAAGCATAATATTTTTTTTTTTTTCCCGTTCACCGTCGTCGCCCGGTTCCTCTCTTCGGTTCTCCTCCGTCCGTCCGTCCGTCCGCCCCTCCCCCGTCCATCCGTATTGTAGTATTGTTCCGAAAATCTTGCGCGGTTTTTATTGTTTTCTTTTTTCTCTTTCTTTTTCTCCTGTTATCCAGAATCGGCGATACGACAACAACAACAACAACAACAATAATAATGACAACCTAGAGGGTACCTAGAGGCCTGCGCGGACACACGAGTTCCCGGGCCCCGGTATTCTACAGTGGTCGCGGAAAAGCCCGACCCCACTCGGATTTATTGTTATCGTTATCGAACCTAACTGTAGACCGCGCCTGTCGTATCCCCGTAGGTCCGACCCAGGACCTAGGCTGAACGTAGAACCGACCCCGTATTAGGTTAAAAATAAAAACACCGTGCACAGTGTTTTTGTAGAGAAAAATAAAGAACGCAACAAAAAATGCCTGCCCTTGCAGGTCTTTCAGCACTTACGTTACTACACGGACCATAGTATTGTGTTATACTGCGCACATTGTACTCGTTTGTAAAAGCGGTACGTCGAATCCGAAAAATTAGCGTGCAGGGGTGGAGGAGAGAGTCATTTCTTTTCGTCGGTCGTGTCCGTGTGAAATTTAACGGACGTTGTACATATTTTAATGAATACATTCCGTTGCGATTGTCAGGGGGCGAATGAAATTCCGGAGGGAGAGGCATTTGCTCCCCCCCCCGTCCTAGAGTATACTTGCATTGTTCAACGCCGGTGGCAATTCTTCGCGTCGCTATAATATTTTTGTACAGGTCGCGGTTGTCGTGCGCTACATAACCGAGAACATTCGGGCGCGACCGTACGTTGTGGATTTCGTCCTCGAAACCTACGCGTGTCCGCGAATCGTCGTAGGGTTTTTAACGTTTTTTTTTTTCTCGTTGTCCGGAAAAACTGCACGGGGCGTCTGTAGAAATGCGTTTTAAACGATACGAATGTACACGGCCAGCTCAAACAGAAAATCCTAAGATCGGCGCGTGTTTTTCGGAGGTTTTTCACCGGCGGAAAAAAAAAAAAAACTAACTTTACGGACACGGTGTCGAAGGGGTCAGCGGACACAGAAAGGCGTTTGCCGACATTTGTCTTGTTCTTGTCGGACACTTCTCGAACTTCTCCTTTCTTGTTTCACCGGTACAGTAATAAACGGTACTGCACGTTGGCCGAACAATTATTTTAAAAGAACGTTACCTCTGGCCGGTGGTCGCTTCGATTCGTTTTTATTTTTCTTCTTTTTTTTTTTTTTATCCGTCTATGATATGTAATAAAACACGCGCCGCGCAATACAATAATATTGTTGTAGTTTCGCGTGTACCCCGGCGCACTACACGCGGTGGCGCGCCCGGGAATTATTTTCAACGGGAGTGGACGTAGTATGCAGGTAGTAAATAACAACAATCACGATTCGCGCGGATAAGTCGTAGAATTGTTTTCCGTTACACTCAACCCGATCGTGAGCAATTTAAAAGCCGGGTCGGCGTAAGAGCAAAACGAAACGAAACAAAGACAAATTTTCACCCGATAAACCCGGCCGGTTTCCATTGTCACTTGTTGGACGCGTACGTGCTGCGCGAATTCGCCAAAACAAACACTCCCCCCGCTGCGGTTGTTGATGTTTTTAGGGCGACCGGCGATGTAATCGCTGATCCCGGCGCCGACCACAGCACAATAACATTTCGCGCGCTCACGACAATGATAATAATAATTCGGGGACCGGGATGCTGTAGCGTACGCGAATAATTTTTATTAAGCCGAAAACGTAGCAGAGTGCGGGCGCGAATCCGTTCTGTGCACCGGGGATCCGAGTGTACGCAATTATCGTTTGTTGTTTTATGCTAACACGCGAAAAGCACGCTGTAACGGTTTATTTCGCGTTTTTATATTTGTACATTTTATCGTCCGTGGCATCATATCGGCCCGAGATGAATTTCAAATGTACGCGTTTGGACACCAAACGAACGGCGAAAAGTCTGGTTCCCGTTTTTGGATTCGGAACGGAGCGAGGAGTGTTTTGGTTTTAACATGGTTTTTATTGTTATTTTTTTTTTTTTTTTTATACTGTGTACGGAATTTCTATTGGAAATATGCCTCCGGTGCATCAAGTGTAGCGCTTTTTCTGAAAGGAAATGTTATCTAGTTGGTACTTTATGGAGGTCATTTTTTTTTAATACTTCAAACGGTTTTCTTAATAATCGGGAAAAACCGGGAAAAAACGTAGGGATGAACGAATACGAATTTATGGCGATTTCATGATTTTAAGTTTTTGTAACTTATGTTTTCTACTAGAAATCTTGCTGCAAACCTAAAACGACAAGTGATCCTTTTTTTTTTTATCGAATTTCGGATCTAGTCGGTGATAAATAAAATCTTTTTTTTGATTTTCCATGTAGTTTTTTAAATAATCAAGCAAAACTGAAAAAAAAAAACGTAGAAAGGCCGGGACAATCGTGCGTTTATTATTTTCAATTTTGTTTTTTTGTTGAAATTCAACTAAAAATGTTCGTAGAGACTTGAAATTTGTACAGAAAACTTGTATTCGTCTTTTACAGAAGTGGTGAAATTTACAAACCATTTTAGTGATTTTTGAACTATTTACAAACATTTTAATTTTGCGAGTTTTTTACGTAATGCTTGTTCGGTAGACACTATCTGCGGATAAAATTCTTAGACCAAACAGAAATGCTCGAAAATTGAACAGAAGGTTCGTTGTATGTCGTATTTTGTGGTAAAACAAACAAAATAAAAATAATAATTCAAATTCAGACGGAAATCGTAAATATTACGGCCTTTCGAAACGTGTGCAACGGAACTCCGTTTAGAATCGTTTTTCGTTAGCAACAATGATGATTACTCGTCGCGTATAGATATACACAATGAATTCCTATATCCGAATGTTACCTTCCTAACTTCTCAGCTACAACAGCGGTCCACCCGTCGCGCAAAGTATGCCCGGTTTATTATTTCCAGCGATTTTCAATATATTTTAGAGCATATTTTAAGGTTTTATTTTATTTTTTTTTTTCTGTTCGTCATCATATCGCAATAGCGTAATAGCGGTATTTTTTTTAACGCTATAAAATCCTGTATCCCGATTATTATTATTAGTATTCTTTGATACGCTCGCGCGGAGTCGTATGAGTCAAACGGAATAAATTATTGGCGTCGAGGCGCGGCGATTATAATATATGCGCGCAAAGTTAAAAAAAAAAAAAAAACATTAAAAAAAAATAAAAAAATAATAATAAAAATCGCGCGACGAATTCGCGAGAGATAAAAATAATATTTCTAGCGGTGGCCGCGGGCGTTATCGGGACTGCGGCCGCCATTATTAGCGCGGGGAAATTCGTTCCGGAGAGCTTTTTTTTTTTTTTACTATTATTATTATTATTGTTGTTGTTATTATTATTTTTTTTTTTTTTCCCCGTTCCCCGCGTACTATTTTTACCGCCGTCGGTCCGCCGCGGCGCTTCCGAACCGACCGAAATACTATTGCGCGCTCCTCCAACACGGTCGTTCCGCGGACGCCTGCAACACAATATTACCGTGGGTACCCATAAACGATAAGTGGCGATTTATCGCCACTGTTGCATCGGCATCGAACGACAGCGGCGGTCACGCCGTTGCGGCGACAACGACCACAACGACAACGACAACAATAATAATGCGGCG